AACACCTCTGCCAGTCATCTTCACAGCCTTTTTCAGCAAAGACAGCTGAACATGGAAAATGTTTTGGGTACAAACGCAAATTCTTAAATTATCTGAGCTTCTTGGCAACAACAAAAAAGATTATGTATGCATATGTGTATATATGTACTGATATATGATATACATTCATACATATACATGTATACACATATACACACATAAACATATATGTATACATATATAGTGACATATATATATGTATACATGTACACTATTTTTTCTCATTGTATATGTATGCTTATGGGTGTTGTGAAAAGTGGTGAGGCAAGAACAAGAATTAGGACAGAAGACTGTTCTAAGGCTTCCCAGACACAATGACATAGGATGGTGACTAGCTTCTTGTTCATTTCTAGTCGGGCTGGTATATTTCATTGAATAAATTGAGTCTATCAAAAACAAGTGTTCAGATGCATAGTTTCAAGCTCAATTTCTTGAAAGTGCTACAACTGAGGAACGAATAGAGCTTACTCTTGGGAGCCTCAAGTTTTACAGTATTGCAAGGTCATCACAAGGTCAAAATGGAAACACAGTAAACCCCCCCAGGGTTTCCCATCTAGTTCCTTGGAACAGGCAGACTCATGAGTAACAAACACTTACTTCGGGAGGCCATATTTTATTTAGACGTTTTGGTTGGTGGATTGGGATATGCGTTAGCAATCTTTGTAGTAGCATTGGTTCCCTTTTTGGAGAGGCTAGCACTGAAATACAGTTTCAATGGAATTTAGAGAAGTTCTAACTCTACAAGAAAGCTTTACACACACACACACACACACACACACACACACACACACACTTTACCCATATAAGTGCATTTTACCTGTATAAGTGCATTTTGGTTACTTTATTACCTTGTTTGGCTAGTGTCTCTAAAACTTGAAAATTAAAAAGATAGTTTTCTATTTCATAAAATCTTCCTTTCGGCTTCATTTTTAAAAGAGAGAACAGTAGGTAATTTTTAGTAATTTATTCACTCTAACAAATCATAAATTTACATAAAATATGATATCTAGAGAGCAAAAACTGTGTTTTAGGCTTCTTTTACCAGAAGAGTATGCTTTTTATTGCCTATAGGAAAAAAACTGTCAAAACAAGTTAACTAAAACAATTTAATGTAATTCAGTCATTTATCAGCTATCATCTAAGTACCAACAAACTTAATGTAAGGATTAAAGAGTTCTTGTTAGTATAGATTAGATGTTATTTGCTTTTCATTAGAACTATAGGATTTGACTCTTTCAGTCTTTTATTCTTTTAATAATTTTAGGTTCTTCTAAAGACTATGGCTTGTAGAATACTTACAGCCTTGAAAACTAGCTTTTTTTCCTCCCACAGTTAAAGGATTGAGATATTTTAAGTTCATGAGAATTAAGGGTCAGACTAAAAGCTGGTTTAGGTAGCTTGGGACCTAACAGTAAGAGGTAGAAAGGTGGAAGGTAATTTGTACTAGATAATTAAAACATATATACTGCTGTTCCAGTTTTTAAAACAAACAACAAAGTAAGCCTATCAAACTTACATTACTGATAATTAAGTCTGTGTTCATTACTACTCAAAGTATAATGGCTTCTTAGTAACAGATTTAAAATTTTTAAGTAAGTAGTACATAGGATCAATACTCTAACAAATGTCGTATCTATATTCTCTCCTCTTTGACTTCACAATCGTTACCAAATCCTATCTTCCACTCTCACCTGAAAACATCAACTAGCATGGAGGAACAGTCCTCTAAGACAGGACAGAAGCAAGAAGGGTAAAGCAACTTCATCAGCAGGAAAAGAATGTCCTCCCCCCTTCTTTCTCCCTCCCTTCCCTTCTTTCTTCCCAACAAAGCAATGCATACTCATTAAGGCAACAGCACAAAGATAACAACTATTTAGTCTTCCAAACTATGTGGTTTTTAAACCTTTCCTGGGTTCTACTTGCAAGACTGTGCCCTTCTTCCAAGCATTTCTCCCTGAGGCTAAGTGCCTGCACTTAGTTAAAAGTCCCAAATCGCCTAAGCTTCATCAGAAGACATCGGCGGGGTATATGCACTTTTACTATTCCACCTGCTCACCTCTAACAGCCCAACCAGGTTCAGTACTGACAAGACAGTGAAAGCACCACTCACAGCTCCCAGAGGCAGAAGAAAGTCCTCCAGTTCTCAATCAGCCTTAATCAGACAGAAATGCAGGCACAAGGCACGTCATGAGTCTGCTAGCACTAAAAGTCTATTCCACCTTCTCCTGGCCCCCTTCTTCTAACACAATCACACTACGGTATATAATTCATGTTGTAAGCAGAAAGCTGCTAAGCCATCCAAACAAAACAACTTCCTTCCAGAGGACAAATCCATGAGAACTTTTGCACAGATACCAATTCACATACATCTGATTCCTGCTCAATTTACCACACTAGAGCATAACACAAGGATTTACTCCTCTGATTCAACTATTGCATTCCAGGTGCACTTCCTAACGCAGTAGCCCTGGGCCCAGAACATGACATCTATCGTTTAATTCTGGAAGGGGGGAGAAAGGTATTTTGATCATTATCCCAAAAATCCTGAAGGCAAGGCGGCAGGTATATGGAGGTATAGTTTCAAAGTAGAACACTCAGGAGATCCTGGGTTTGATCCCCAGTCTGGATAAACAATGAATCCTCATGGCAACTCAAGAACAATTACTTTAGCTTACTGTTTACAACTGCCAGTTACTTTTCTTTCTTTTCCCAGGCTCAAATTAATTGAAGGTTATAAGTGGTCACTTCCCCCTAAAAGCCAGAACTTTCCCCTGCTCTGAGCAGGGGAATACCTCATAAATAAATTAGGTAAAACTATGGGCTTGCTGACTGAACGACAATCCACAATCCATTTAGCTGCCAAGTCTTTATCTAGATCCATCTACCACAATGAGCAATCCCTGAACGTCAAGGCAGTGGCTTACTTCATCAGTTATCTGGAAGTCTGTGACTGGCAGTGAAAACAGCCCGCAGAAATTCTAGCCTCTTTGCTTAGCTTCGATTCGATTCGTTTGAAGGGACCAGGGCAAGGAACACAGACACAACACTAACTGTTCACGCTGCCCACTTCCAACTAGTCCGGCTCTAACTCATTTCAACTCATTCAGCCTGGCTGAGCTAGTCTCCAAGGCAGAAGTTAAAAAGGAAGCACAAAGATCAAAGCAGTGCTTGCGAAGGGGAAGGGCTATTTTTGTATGTATACTCCAGTATTTACTAACTGGCTTTGAAACACAGGCACATTTACTACCTTACGCAGCTCAAGTAATCACCATGTGTAGACTGGCTACCGAATTTCCGAACAAAGATAAGAGACAGCCAGGTTGCCACCAACCTTCAACAGGATTAAACAACTTTCTTTAAGAGTCTTTTGGTTTTTGAAGTGGTTAGCGTTTCACAGCGAGTATAGTATTTTAGTGCCAGCGTTAAGTCTAAGTAGAAGCCTTCTTTCGTGTTCAAGTTTGCTCAGTATGTTAAGCCAAGAAGACCTTTTCTCTAAGCTAGCAAGAGACTCCCAGATGTACCAACATGGGCAAGGGTTGCAGATTTCACATCCCCTTCATTATATGTGTTCTTTTAGTCATCCAGAGGAATAATAAATGTTAAATGCAGCAGGAAGCAAACCTTTCTAATTCCAGTCTTCTCAAGTTCATATGCTAGGTACTTTGCTGTAAATAATTTACATAATTTTTAGTGCACCAAACAGCAAGAGGCTTCATTTCTAGAAAGCACAATATTAAAATCAGGGAAAAAGCACACTTCAGTTAGGGCCTTGCTTTAATCAAGTTTCCCTTTTTAAGGTCTGACAAACATTTATGAATTTCATGCCATGCAAGAATGCTCAGCTGAGGATTCCATTAGAAAGCTACCGAACTCTATCTTGATCTCCATCTTTAGTATTTACCAACGATCATCAGTCTGAACCCCAAGATTTGATGCCACGTCTATCAAATGTTAATAAACACCAGAATCATTTCTCAGTTATGAGACCTACAATAGCAACAACAACAACAAATTTTAAATATGGTTACTCAGGAATCTGCAGTGTCAACCTTTGCCTTTAAAGTTCATTTAAAAAAAAAAAAACAGGTTAAATCTAGATGAGGAAATCTTTTATCATTAAGTTTTAAGTTTTAGAATAGATTAATAAACAGAGCCAAGATCAGTGTCTCTCTCAGAAGCCGAAGGAAGCATACATGCAGGAGAGGCGCCGCCGTTTGTATCGTTTTCTGTTTTAGAGGTCACGCACAATACATGGTGCCATTATCCTAGAGTGTCCTGTAATTAAGAGTCTAAAAGGTGCTATTAGCAGGTAATTTCTCTCTCAAATGCCAGGCCTGGAGAATCGGTACGAGGCCCTCCTTATATTTTGAAAATCAATGTTGAGATTTGGCAGCTGAATGCATTATATGTGTGTTGGCCGGGTGTGTGTGTGTGTGGGGGGGGGGTCTATCACAGATCGGAAAGCGGGCCCCAGACTCTCCCGCAGGATTCCGAGGAGCTGGAAAGGGCTTTGCCAGCCAGACGGTCTGACAGGCACTTCTGCTTTCATTTCAGCGACCGCCCTTGGGTGAAATCTGGCTGTGCACTGCACCAGGCACCTTTCTATCTCGCCTTCGCCGCGGCAGATCTCAGCCTGGCCGCCACCTCCCCTGCGGCAGGGGCTTGGGCAGCAATTTCTAAAACTTTGTTAAGAGTTCCCCTCGGGTTCCCGTTCCCGCCCGCGGAGACGCGGAGGGCCCCGCCGAGCGGGCGAGGCCTCGGGCCGCCCAGTGCGGATGTGCCCCGTTCCCGCAGCCGGGGGAGGAGGGAGGCTCGCGCCCCGCAACCCCCGCCCGGGACTCCCCCGCGGACCCTCCCGGGGCCCCGAGCAGCAGGCGAGCCCGGTGGGACCCGCTGCCGCGGTGCTGCGGAGAGGTGGCGGCTCCGGTCCTCGACCTCCCACCCCCACCCCGAGGGCTTACCCTGGAGGTGCGGCGCGGCCTCTCCGCGCCTGCGGGCTCCCGCTGCGGGGCGGGGCAGGGCGGACCGGCGGGAGCCCGAGCCGGGTCGGGGCGCGGGCGGGCGGACGGGCAGCTCAGCGGCGCGCCATGGCCGCGGCGCGGAGCGGGAAGCG